TCACAGGGCGCTCGACGTCTTGCCGGAGCTTCGAAGGGGCAGGGGGGTCGTCCGCGCGCAGGGCGCCCAGCGTCTCCAGGAGATCCCTGGCCCGCCTCGAGGGGGCGCCCCAGCCTCGGCACCCAAGGGATCCCGCAGACAGCGCGGAGCCCCTGGGGGCCAGGCTCTGGAAAGCCACCCAACACGTCGTCAAAGGGCTGCACCTCCGTCGAGCCTCGCGATCCCACAGGGTCTGGAGGGGCACCACCGATGTCTGAGGACCCAGCCCACGTCCCATAAACGCCCCCCGCAAGTCATCAGGCGCGTCCTGAAGCACTTCAAGCCAGGCCTCCGAATACTTGAACCACTCCCAGACGGCTCCAAGTATGTTCTCTGAAATCTGGTCGGGCCCCCACCTCCCGTCGGCCTGCTGGGGGGCCAAATGCGGGCCACAACAGGGGGCCACAGGAGACTTCTCGAACGTCTTGGGCTTCCTGAAACATGCCTCCGACACGAGGTTCTTAAAGACAGCGGCCCCAGTCAAGCGGGGCGAAGACGGGGCCTCGACCAGGGGTGCCACCTGGGGGGGGCAATGCCTGAGGGCCTCGGCTCCTACGAAGAATCCGATGTCACTCTCCACCTGGGCCCACTTATCCGCCCGGTTCGCCCCCGCTTCCCCATGCCAAATGGAGCGCGTGGGCAGGTTGGGCCGAAAGATCGCGCCTGCGACCGCGTCGAGCCATCGCGACTCCGCCACCCCCGCCGGCGCGCAGTTCCAGTCGCCGTGGGTCACCCACGGGGAGCCCTGGCCCAACAGAAACGCAGCAAGTCCTTGGAGAAACTTCCAGTTCCCAGGCTCCTTCGGGCCGTCCCCCACGTCGAGGTAGATCGGGACCGCCAAGAGGCCCCTGGGGAAATCAACGTTGACCCGACGGAAGACCACGCGGTGGCTGAGCTGCAAGAGGGGCTCGTCCAGAGCCACCGAACACGAGGGCATGCAAGACTGCGCCGCGACGGCTGAGCAGCCCGAGCTCTCGGTCGGCCCAAGGCCCCGTAGAGCTTTGTCATCCTGGCTGGACCGCCAGTCGCTGGCTGCAGCCCCATCCGTTGGCCTGTTCCTCGGCGGTCGCCACCTTCAGCCTGGTCTCCCGGTCTCCTCCGCTGCAACCCGCCGCGGGAAGGGGGCGCCCATGCCGACCGCCTTCCCGGGCGCTTCGTGGCCGAGGTCGCCGTGCCACCCGCGGGTCGCCTCGAAGCTGCCAAGCGTTCGAGTTGACTCCGACCAAAAAGAACATCGTCGTCGCCGCCGGCTGGCTCGCCGTCCGACCCCCGTGGCAGACGTAGTCGAGCTGCTCGAGCTGGACCGCGCTGGCGCTGAATTTCGACACCGCGTCGAGCAACATATGGGGAGGAGGGCGCACTCGCAGCTCTCTCCGGAACGAATGCGGAATGGCGGCCCCCATGCCTTCCTGGTCATCACCGCGCCCAGCCGCGCCAGTACGCAGTCCATCCGATGTAAGCACAGGGCAAGCCACCTGCTGAACATGACCAAGCATCGGCGCCACGCCTCCCGCCACCAGCCCACGAGGCACTGAACCCGGCCGTCCAGCCGAGGGGGAAAGGTGGCCCCCGCTCCCTTCTTGACTGCCAACGTGCCCAGCCTCGTAACATGACGGGAGCCCGAACCTTGCGCCGCTGACGGGCGCCGCGGCCACTGGAACCTGAAAGCCCACGTCTGGTCACTCCACGTCCACCACGTTGGTGCTCCGGAACAGCCCATGACTGCGTTCTGACGCCCCCCCTTCTGGCACGTGTCGACGCCGCGCAGGTGGGGCGCCTTCCAGGCTGACCCCGTGGGCCGGGCCCGAGGAGCGCGCGACCCCCTGCCGCTCTGACCTCGGCAAGGCGTGGACCGAAGACCCAGGCGACCCAGCAAACGAAGAACACGCGGCCACCTGCCCACTCGTGGAATCCGCCCCCCATTTGCGCTGTCGACGCGGTCGCGCAGCCCGAGGAGCTCGAGGATCACTGCCCCGGATCCTGCCGAGGACCTTCACACGGTCGCTGGCCAGGGCCACGTGGCCGATCTTCCTGTGCCTTCCCCGCCCGCTCCTCCACCGATTCCCCCCCGCGGGGTCCCGCGCGTGGGTCCAGGGGCCCCGAGGAACCCAAGCCCTGCGTGGGTGCCGTCCGCGGGGGGGGGTCTCAAGTTCCTCAGGAGCGGTGGCTCCGCCGCACGAGCGGGCAGCCGAACTCGTACCTCGCGAACCTGGGGAAACTGCCCATGTGCCTTCACCCCCTTCGTTGGCGACGCTGGCCCGAGAGGGACAGTGCCTCCGCGAGGCTGGTCCCGCCACGGCCCGACATGCGCTCAAGCTGGGCCACGCGGGCAGTGGGGTCCCTAAGACGCCGCCGCAGCCACTAGGAACGCCGTGGGCGTTTTGCTTCGAAGGATGCCAGATACTTAGCGACCGCCTGCTCCGCACCCTCGCCCTCCATGGCCCGCTTGAGCCCCTGCTGGAACTCCATGTCGTAGTCCTCATCCCTGGGCACGCTGCCAGCGTCTAGCTGCTGCGGCGGAGCGCCGCCTCACCCACCAGGAGTAGCAAGCTGAGGAGGGCAACCGCCACCGGCACCAGCCGCCGATGCCCTCTCAGCCTCCCGCTGGGCCGCACGAGCCTGCTCCTGCAGGCGCTGCAGCGTCTCGGGGGCCGCGCGGCCCTCCCCTGACTGAGACACGGACTCATCCAAACCGGCCAGCTCAACTTCGACGAGGTCGTTAGCCCCCGCGAAGTTGACCTTGTGCAACATTTTCGTGTGCTGCTGGAACTCCACCCGGGCCTCCGCGAGCATCCCTTTCGTCTCGACGATGGACTTGGCGAGCTCCTCTTGCTGCTTCTCGTGGCCGGCGACGCGGCTGACCAACCGCTCCACCTTGCGAGTCGCGTTCTCCACACGGTGGCGAACCGCGATGGCCGAGGGTGGCAGCGATTCGTACTCCTTGATCTTGGCCTGCTCGGCCGACGAGATGGCCGCTGGGTCGCCCCCTCGTTTGCGCAGGGAGGAGAGCACCTGCCCAAACTACAGGTCCGATCCATCTCCCGCTGGCAGCGTGGGCTTGACTGTGTTCGTGCTGCCCCCGCCACCGCCGCCTGCGAAGGCTGCCGGCTGCTGCTTGACCGCCTGGACCTCCTTGGCAAGGCCGCCGCTGCCTGGGGTCCGTTGGCCCAGGCTCCGCCAGGCCGTGCCGCGCCCTGCTGCCTGGGCTGGCCGCGGGCCGCTGAGGCTGCAGATGCGGAGCGCCTGGGCTGGCCGCGGGCCGCTGGGCTGGCCGCGGGCCGCTGAGGCTGGGCGATCCTCGCGGGCGCACCGTTGCCGCAGCCCCTGCACTTGAGCATGCTGGCCCAGTTTGCATTTGCTGCACCCCCAATCAGGAAACATCGGCCCCGCCAGCACATCGCCCCGCTGGGGCTGGCCCGTGGCCGACGCTAGTCGACTGGGCCGATCGTTGCGTGAAATTGGCTCGCATCCGCGACGCCAGTTCGAAATACGCACCTGCAAAACACTCGAGTGCGAAATGGCTAGGAGGGAGGGAGGAGGGAAGAGGACTGGAGGGATGAGGGAGGACGGGAGGGAGGAGGGGAGGGAGGAGGGAGGAGACAAAGAAGAAGCAGGAAGGGAGGATGGATGGAAGAGGAAAGGTGAAGGGAGGGCGAAAATCGCTAATGTGAGGCCCCCTTTTCCGAACCTCCGCCCCCGACCCGAAACGTTCACCCTCTCCTTCGATCCGAGAACTCCCGTGCCTGATGCCTGGGCACCGCTTCCAGACCTCCTCTCGCTGCGGCAAACCCACGACGGCCGGCGTTGTGCCAATTATTCGGGCTCTGGGGGCCTCGTCGGACCCCAAGGGCTGTCCAAACATGAGCCGTGCTGAGATAATCAGTCCCCGGGAAGAAGGTGCAGACTCTGGATCTCCCGGGTCCACGTTGAGAGAAAAGCACGACGTCGGAGGTCGGGGAATCGGGACTTCCGCCGCATCACCTCGTCCTGCGAACAGCCCACGCTCGAGCGGGCCGTGACTCCGTAGCTGGGGAGGCGTGGAAACAAACTAGACTCGCATGATGACGACAATGACGACGACGACGATGACGATGATGAACACGATGGTGGAGGTTCGATTCTCTTGACTGCGTTCGGCGTTCGGGCTTTCCGACGCGATCTCGACACAGTTCGTAGCTTGGATACGTCGAAATTCTCTCACTTTTGATCGGGAATATACCTGAGATTGGACACGGCCTGTAACCGGTGTCTGCGCTGGTCTCAGCCGCGCTCTACGTGAACAAAAGAAAAAAACGTTGGTGCCCTCACACAGTGACCATACACATTTGGGCACGGGTCCATGCCAGCCAAATGATGGTTAAGTGCCAGTGCACTCGCTGGCACTGACAGAAAAAGTATTGGTCGCAAGACGCTCTGCCTGCATCGCGTATCTAGCCCGCAGATGCAGGAAGATGGAAAAACTGCGGGCGGGCAGGACAACTGCTTGATTTGCAATCGTAAAGAACAACGGTGCTGGGCGAACGCGGCCGACAATGTGGCGCAACCGGAACCCGTTGCGCGATCCGCGCGCTTGGGAAGAATGTGGGGACGGGGGTCCAGCGCCGGCCGAAGAACTTCGAGCGGACCTCCAACCATCAATGTTTGCACCGATTCTGCCCTTCTGGTGCAATAGGCGGCGTATCAGATCCCTTGTCTCGAACAAGCTCTCTTGAAGACTGGGGCTGTCGTCTGCAGCTTTCTTTCTATCGGGATGCCTGCCCACTGCTCTAAGGCGGCGATCCATCACCAACGTGCCTGGCCAGGGCCATCATTATGGGGGCACAGGATGGTGTATGGACCGTCCTGTGCCTCGGCCAGGAGGGCGCATGTACCATACATAAGACCCTGGCAAGATGAGGATCGGTTCGGACAAAGATGCACCTAGAAACTACGAGCACTGGCGAACCTAAAGCCGCGGCGCTTCAAGTGCGACCCAGATCGTTCTTGGAGCGCTCCAAAACGTTCTTCGATGTGTCCTCTCCCTGGGCCTGCCCGAGCACACCCTGGGCCGGGCACGATGGCGGTTCTGCGCAAGGTGCCCTCTGCGAGCCGCTGCAAAAACGCCCAGGCGGCTAGTAGAAGAAAAGAAACATCAGCACCAACATCAGTGTTCGGAGGTGCGCAGATTTCTCAGATCGGCGCTAGACCCCCCAAAATGAACGCAGCACCCCGCACTTGCGGATAAGAAAGAGCGGGCGGCGGCGGGGGCAAAGACTCTGCCCCCAGGTCGTGCCTCCAAAGGCTGCCCCCATGTACTGCCCCCACATATTACCCCCATGTGTTCGACGAAAGAAACGGAACAAACAATATATGGTCTAGACATTCGGAAGCCATCATGCCTTGCCGCGGTTTCGCCGGAGGTCCAAACGAAGCCGAAAGTATTCATTTCCATTCGATTGATAAAACATTGCGGCAGTCTTTGTTTTTTCTGGCATTCGTCGGTGCAAACCAGCCCAAAAGGGCTCCACAGTGACGATCTGAGAGGGCCCGTCGATAGCCCAAGACGGCCGGAAGAAATCGTCCAGAAGGAGAAGAGGGCCCCAAAAGAGCTCAAGAGAGTCCGAAGACGGCACACGATGAACCCCAAAGACCCCCAAAACTGCACAGGAGCCCTGAGCAACCCGGCACGGCCCCAATGAGAAGCCAGAAATGAATTTGAGAGGTGTCACATGTGACAGCGTTCTTCACGATTCTCCTCCTGCCCGCCATCATCAGCAAAATACCCATCGTCCTTACCATCATCATTATGATCGCCCTGCTCATCATGGTCATCGTCATCGTCATCGTAATCGTCATCGTATTCGTCGTCATCATCACCGTCATCATCATAATCATCATCAGCATCATCACCACCATCATTATCATTATCAGATCCTCATAGTCGGCATCATCATCAGCATCATCACCATCGTCGCCATTGTCATGGTCGTTGTTATCGCTCCTGAGTAACTCCTCTTCCTCGGCCTCGTCATCTTCGTCTCTCTGAGGCCCAAGGAAGCTCTACAGGCCGTCGAGAGCTCTGGCATTGCTGGGCATTGGTTGGAATGATTTTGCGCTGACACCGGGATACGGACCCACTTAGCGTGGGCCAAGCACTCAGACTCGGGCGTGGCAGGAGAAGAAGAAGGAGGGATAGCATAATAACACAGGAGGCCAACGACGGAGGCAGAGGAGGAGGGAGCCGTGCAGTCACATGCACTGCCAAGCCCAGGCGGAGGAGAAGGAGGCTGCTATGCTCTCCCGTGCGGACGGGCCCCAAGATCTCATCGCGTTGCCTTGCTCTGCATATGACCTGCGTTGCTCGACATTGCTGCGCTGCTCAGAATCTAACCTGCGTAGTGATGGGCGCTGCTGGGCATTGCTCGGGGACATACGGCGACCAGGGCCAAGCGTGCAAGTTGTTTCAATAGGCTGAGCATTCAGACCCGAGCGCGTCACGTGTCATTGAACGGCATTGCATGACATTGAACGGCATTGCCTTTGCATTAGCTGGCGTTGTTAGACATTGGTTGGTGTTGGCACAAACAAACAAGACCAAAGAAAGCCGAGGAACTCGAGATCCTCGTTCTCTCCGGCATATGACAACCCAAGAGGTCTCCAAGATGTCCCCAAACAACCTCCTATATCAACCTAAGATGGCCTAAGAGGCCCCATACTAGTAGAGGGCCCAAAGACGGCCCAGGAGACTTCCACCATCGTCCGAAAGCGGTGTATGGTCAACGCACCTCTGTTTCTCGCTCTGCCTGAGAACTCCCTGTTCTGGTCTAGGCGCCTCTCCCGTGTTTGGTCTCTCTCTCTCTCTCTCTGGCGCGCTGTCTCTCTCTCTCTCTCTCTTTCGTTCCCTCTCTGTCCCTCCCTTTCTCTCTCTCTCTCTTTCTCTCTCTCTCTGTCCCTCTACGCTGTTTACGGTTTTCTCTACTAATTACCCTCTACTCTCTCACTATCTCTCTGCTCAACTCTGTTCTGCACTCTCGTGTATGTACCCTTGCTCTCTACGACCCACTCTCTCATTCAGACCACCTTTGTACAACATCGGGAACACGGCATTCTCTCCAATCATCCCTTCACACTCTTCTCACCTCTGCACGCAACTCTCTGACCCCTTGACGTTTTCCCATGAACATCCTGAGGCGCTTGGCGAAAACCCTAACTGCCGGGAGCCCCGGATCCAAGAACCCAAGGACCCCCAGAACCTGGCCGCCTGCCGAAGCCTGGCACTGCCACAACCGCCGTAGCCGAAAACCGGGAACCCAGGAACCCCCAGGAACCCCGGCTGACTACCGAAATCGGCGACGTACCTTCGCCGACTCTTGCAACGCGTAAACACAAAACTTTCAACGGTTCTTTCAGATGTCTTAGATCGGTGCTGGGGCCCCTCTGGCGGCGCCTCCCGAGCCGCCCCTGCACTCCGCGTTCCAAGACGGCCCAAGAGGGCCCCCAAAGGCCCCAAGAGCGCTTCAAGAGGCCTCCCAAGAGGGCCCCGAGAGGCCACAACCATCGATTTTACGGAGGTTAGCGAAGGATTGGGGCCTTCTAGGAGGACGATGACGACGAGGAGGAGGAGGAGGACGAGGAGGAGGATGAGGAGGAGAGGCCGGTGATGACAAGCGTGGTGTCAGGCGTGGTGCTGGGCGTGGTGGCGGCGTGGTGGGGGCGCTCCACGACAGCTCAAGAAGCTCCAAAGACCGCCCCACGCCAGCCCGAGAGGCCTCTCAGTCGGCCCCAAGACGGCCCAAGAGGGCTCCAAGATGGCCAGCCCAGGCCGCGCTCAAGACGGCCCACGAGGGCCCCAAAACGGCCCCAAGAAGGGCCCAAGCAAGAGACCACGAACCGACAATCCTATATTCTGTGCCCCGAGAAGCTTCCAGGAGGCCCCTAGAAAAGCGCCCAAGGCGCGCCCAAGGGGCCTCCAAGAGACCCAAAACATACCCCACGAGGCTTTCAAAGGCCGCCTCCAAGAGGCCCCCGAGAGCCGAGAGGCGACACCCCAATACACACACAAGAGTCCTCGGACCCACAGCCCAGGCACGGTGGCAAGATGGACGCCAACGTCTCAATCTGCGCTGATGATTCCTATCCGCCCTCGCATGTTCCCAGATGCGGCATGGCAACGCCAAGACGCATCGACGCGACTCTGGTATATCCCATTATGATAGAGAGGGGGCCGGCGGCAGGGGGCGACGCCCTTACGGATGTAAATTATGAATCTCTCCGCCGGATTCCGCGATGCCTTACCGTTTGCAATGCGATCCACTTATGTTATATATTGCAGGTTTGTTATCTGCTTGTGTATATGCCAAGTCTGCCTCGCGACGCTGTTTTTGCATGGTCGCACTAGCAGATAAGCAGGAGTCGGCAGGAGGAACTGCAGAAACGATGGGCTGCACGTTGCGACGGGCAACAAACACATCTAACACATATCCACCTTCCCGGTGCCAACGATAGAAACTGCTTGTTTGGGACTCGATGCAATGAATGTGCAATACGTTTCCGAAGCGTTTGCGACTCCCCTCCCGGAGATGGGTGATTGGCCATCATTTCCCCATCCTATATATCGGCGCAGCCCTGCACGTTGCTTCCTTTTCCTCTCCTCGTCTCCGATGTCCGAGCCGCGTGGCCGACAGATTGCCCAGCCACCCACTCCTCTCCTCATTATCCGCTGTTCCTGGCAGCTTCTGCCTTACGCCCCTTTCTCATAATTCATTATGTAGTATTGCGTGCGCAATGTCAGATGCTCGCAAACTCGTTTTCAAATAGCTTGCAGAGGTGCGTGTGCATGCCTTTTTCTCAGCTTGACTCCACTCGTGTTTTGTTAGCCTGCAACAGATCGCCACGACACGTAGTTGCTGTAAATTCGTGGCTCCACTTTTTTATCGGTTTGAGGTTCACGCCGTCGACTGGCAAGACGGAAAACCTGTACACTATAAGTAAACGCCCGGATTGTCTCCAACAACCAGAAAGCCGAACGGCCCCCTCACTCGCACGTGTGTGCCGATGCATACTGGGAACAGCATACCCGTATGCGGGCCCCAGGACCGTCAGAAACGGGCCCAGGATGAACAACTGCTCCGAGGGAAGTCCACCAGACCAATGTTCGACAAGACCTGCAAACATGGATTCATTTTTCAATGGCACTGTGAGGCTCTGTGAGGAAATGGTTGGACAGCTACCCAGCTCCCTCCCTCGACTCGGCTTGCCACGTGTCCCCCATCGGAAGGAGGATGCCATCTCGTAAGCCCGTCTAGAGCCTTCTGCCTGTGCCGATGCCTCTTCCTCGGGGCTCCGTAGGTCCGACGCTTGCTCCGCGGGCCCGTCACCGAGTGAGGCTCCGTCTGACTGCGGGCCTTCAGCGCGCGCGCGCGCGGCGGCCAGAGCCGTCCAGTGGAGAGTGGGCTCCCGGCGGCGCGCGGGGTGGGAGCGGGCCGAGGCGTGGCGGCCTTCCTGGCTCCCTGCGGACCGGGCCGGACGGAAGTGGGGGGGCCGCGCGGTGGCCTGGACCCCCCCGCAGACCTCACGGCACGGTCCCCGCGCCGCGCGGCTGCGGGACCCTGGGGGCCCCAGTCGCCCGAGAGGTCCTCGGAGACCGACCCGAGCACCGAAACTGTGCGGCCACCCCGGATCCCGACTGGCCCACCGCACCGTGTGGTCACAGCACCGTCAGGTGGCCCCCGAGAAGCGGAAGGGGGCCAGTGAAAGGGGGGATCGGCGAATCAGCTCGCGCCACTGGCCTTCCCTGCGCCTCCTGGCGCCAATGTGTCGAGCAGATCGCCCAGCGGCGGGGCCGAAAACTGCGCAACCCCCCGTTTCCCAAGGCTCCCCTCTCGTCCGCCCCGAAAGAAGGCGTTCAGCGTCGACGTCGTCGCCGTCGTCGTGTTCGTCTCCGGGCGGTCTCTGGGAGTCTCCGAGGGTTCTCGTCGCCACGGGTGGACGCGGCTCGCAACACCGGCCAGGCTGGAGCTCCCAGACGGTCGGATTCTGGCCAGGAGCGGCGTCAAAAGGTGGCGGTCTTCTGAGGATGCGAGGCCAGAAGGACAAACTACTGCACAAACATAATTTCGCAGAGGTCCGCGCGGATGTCTTGGATCGGTGCTGGCGCGCGGAGCGCGCCCAGGGTCTCCAGCTTAGATCCACAAAAAAACGCGGACCTTCGAGAAACTATGTTCATGCAGTCTTTCCTTCTTCGAAGGGGTGCCTCTTTGAAGGGCCAGGGTTGTTGTCAACGTAGGGCTTCCTGGAAGGAGGAGGGGTGCATGAGGAGCCTGCTGCCCATGCAGAGGGGCCCCTCCACTCGTCACACCTCCTGCTGCACGCCGCCGTTGCTTCCTGTGCGCCCTGGGCCGGCTTCAGGAGAGAACTCACGACGACGACGTGGTCCCCGCGGTGAGCCTCGTCGAAACGGTCGAGCACATTGACATCAGAGGTCTCGACATGGCCTTTTTGCTGAATATGCGCCGCATTTTGGCGCCACTGGGCGACGTGAGCTCTAGCACCATCACGTCTCCCTCGAAGAAGCGCCGGCTGGTCGCAAATAGCTCTCCCGCCTGGGTCGTGGTCTCGACGCAGAGGGTCTGTCCATCCCACGTCGGCGTGATTGTGACAGGCCTCCCCTCCAGGTCACAAGACTTCTGAGGTCCAAGACCTGGGATAGTCAAAAACGGCGTGAATAGATAGTAAGTCCACGCGGAACTGTTGGATCGGCAACCACGCTCTCCGCTCGGGTGCACCGAGGAATGGGGCCAAGAAAAGGCGGGGGGGCGCGCGCGCGTCATGGCCGGAGGCAACCGTGTGCGGACGAGGTGTGCGGCCATGGCCAGGAAGAGGAGTGTGCGGACGAGGTGGGATCTGGAAACGCGCACCCGTCGCAAAACCCCGCTGTGACAACTGGGACGCCGTTGCAGGGCCTCCTTGGGGCCGCTTTCCCGCAATCCTCGACCCCCCCTGCTTCTACCCCACCGCTATACCTCGTGCCCGAGCGAGGTGGTTCCAGGGGCGACATGAAAACTACGCACGGAGTTCCCTGCAGTTGACACTCATGCCATTTACTTGTTCTCCGAAAGACCAACTTGGCACATCATCGTGACGGTCGTCTTCAGCTGATCGACGACATGGATGTTGTCACCGTCCTGCGTGATCACCTGCACCTGAGCGACGCAGCAACAGGCGGCCCTTGCGCGATGGCATGCGAAGGCCGCCCGAATGGCACACTACTCGGGAGAAACGTCAGCGGAGTCCAAACTACAGTTATCCTAGATGAGGTCCGAGTAGATGAGGTCGGAGGATCACGCCGCATCGCCGATGCATCGGCGAAACATCGCCGATGCATCAGCGATGCACCAACGACGTCGGCGATGCATCGGCGACGCCATCGTGGAGAACATCTGGCTCCGCATCGAGCCGCATCGCCGATGCATCAGCGATACGGCGCGATCCTCCGACTCCATCTACCCCGACCCCACCCGACTCCGTCTGAGAGGCCTAGACAACCTTTGGGGGGCAAACATCCAGCCCCAATCGCCTGGCAACGTGCGACTCGGATACCTCAACGATGCATGGCCGCCTTCCGGTCGACGTCCCCCCCCCCTCCCGAGCCGGTCCCGCCTCGCCTTCCCCCCACTCGCTGCGAGGAAGAGGAGGGCGGCTCCATGTCAGTCGGCGGACACGCGGACCCAGTCGGGGTCGTGCCCGCGTGAGCGCGCGGCGTCTGGCCAGGCCCGCCCTGGGCCCGGGAGCGGCGTGTACGCCTCGTCTGCGCCCACACTTGCCAGAATTGCCAAGATTTTCTCGGGAATTGACGATTCCTTGTGTCTGTGGGTGTTTCCCCTCCTGAGCCTGGTGGCCTACTCCGTAGTGCGCGCTCCTCGCCGCCTCGACCATGATGGGGTCGAGGCCCATGCTGAGCAGGAACGCGGGCATGTTGCCCTCCGCCCGGGTGCACTGCCAGGTGCCCGTGAAATCGGGCATGTCGGACCTGAGGGAGCAAGGGAGGAGACAGGAGGAGGAGGAGGAGGAGGCAGAGGAGGATGAGGAGGATGAGGAGGGTGTCTGCCCTGGAACGCCCTGGTGCCAACAATCGGGGAGGCGTTAGACTCGGGACATTACGGGGGACTCGGATTGGCCTGACGGGGTCATCCAAAAAACGACGAGTCCCGATCTGAAATTCGGCGTTGCTCCCGCTGCAACCATCCCACGAATACTGGACCGTCAAGATCCAAGAGACGCTCGTCAAAAAACCTCGGCAAACCCGGGTTCCAACTTGCTCGAATCTTTCGCTTCCCCGAAACAAGGCAACAACGAAAAGCTGCAGCCCGGACTGACTGAGGCGAGAGCACAATGATCACCTCGGGCAGCTCGTGCTCCAGATTTGAAGAGGGCATGCGCCGCGGTGGACAGGACACGAGGGCACCCCTGGTTGTGCAAGGCAGGCCGATTCATCCGCGCACACACGCGCCACAAGCTGTAGGATGTCTGCGCGAATCTCCTGTCTCGGCGCCGGAACCCCTCCTCACGCCCCTGGCGGCGTCCCGTGGCGCGTTCCGCGTGCCATGGAATTGGGGGTGGGGAGGAGGGTCCAGCGGCGACCATTGAAATCCGCACAGACCTGCGAAACTGTCTTGTCATTCGATGCAAGCTCTTCGTGGTCTTAGATGCTTACCGCTGCTCACCGGGCTTCTCCCAGAAGGAAATCTAACATCTAACAACGATCACGAGGCGAATGCAGCCGTGGCGACGAGGCCCCGCCCTGAAGGCCAAAAAGGGCGAGAACGACGGAAGGACCATCAAATCCGATCAATCGGGGCCCTGACCCTTCCCTTCCTAACTATAGTCTATGGTCATTCCGTTCGCCCCCGATCGATGTCTGGCGGCCACGGGGCAGAAAACGGTCTGCAGGCACCGAACAACACTGACACACTCAATTGCGGTTTCTCTCTCTCTCTCTCTCTCTTTTTCTCTCTCTCTCTCTCTCTGCTCCGAAAGCGTGTCAGACGTGTCGCTCAGAATCAATCCTGGCCGCACACTCATCCCAGACCCATGTCCGTCGGCACCAAAAGCTGCAAGCGCGGGCCTCCGTACGCCGAGATCGGGGAAAACCTTCGATCCCCGAGGGTCGCCGGGATTGATACGCGCTGCGCTTCCCCTCCGGCTTCCCAAGGGCTGCAGGCCGTTCGCTTTCCGAAGGTCGTGCAAGCGGGAGAAATCGGCATTTTGGCATTCTCAAACGTCGAACTTGCTAAGCATTCTGGTCACCGATGATATCGTCGTCGGGCTGGGGGGGCCATTCATAAATGGACCCGGGGCGAATAACACCTCCAGGGGAAGGGCCCGGACTTCTGGTGTCGCGAGCTACAATAATCACGTAATCTTAGGAAAGGACAGCGGGGAGGAGGAGGAAAGGAGGAGAAGGATGGGGAACGGGAAAAATACAGAGTGAGCAGACGGCCGACATCACACGATAACCGCTCGAAAATTCAGTGGAATTGACGGTTTTCGCCGCACGATCTTTTTTTTTGCCAGCAGTGTGTATGCGAGTGTCGAAAGCGGGCGAGAGCTCGCCAGCACGCCGCAGGAAGGCCCTTGATCAGACCCGTGCAACTTGCAATGAGAAGCGACAGCCGTGGAAAAAGCCTGGCCGATAGGCTGCCATGTATGGGCAGGTTGGGGAAGGCATAACTTGTTACCAGTGCCTGAAAGTCCCACCTGTAACTTCCTCGCTGGAGTCTCTAGAAGCAAGCACGTATCTCGGGCACCCACGGGCTTCAAGGTCTCCAAATCTAGATGTGCATTCTCAAGAAACGGAGCGGCTTTCCCGACCCCGCCTAGACGTGCGCCAAGTGGGGAAGACCACGCTGGCACGACGAGCGTTTTCCGGCGCCTCCAGCGGGGCCCGACAAGGGTCAACCCAAAAGGCCCTGCCCTTCGTCAGTCGAACAGCGGAGCGCGCGGGCCCGCTCGAGGTGAGAACATGGATTTTAGACTCGACACCGCCCATCTCGCTCAACATTAACACTTCTGGAGAAAAAAAACAAAAAAATCTGCCGCTTCTGGGTGGCGCAGCGACAGGGGCGGCTTGACGTCCAGGTCGAGCGCGAGGGAGGCCCTGCCCCAGCGCCTCCGGCACTGGGAAGTCCAGAATGGAAGACCAAGTCGGCAGCGGCAATCGCCTTGGCCATCGCCGCGACAATATCCGCATACGGGGCGCCCAGCAACAAGCCCTGGTCCGCTTCCATCTTGGCCGTGTCTCCTCCCGCCCTGCCGCCGAGTAGCACCGCCGCGTCGCTCCCGTCAATGATCCCGCCCGAAGATGTCGCGCGAACGCGAAACTGCCGCCGCCGACGGGTTAGTGGTAGTGGCCCACAACAATCAGCTTCACCACGTGAGAACCACCACCTCGCGGCATGGCCGCCTGTCGGACGTCGCGCTGAGAGCCGCCCGCCTCTTCGCGGCCGGCGGCAACAACGCCGAGCGCCTGCGCCTCCCGGCGGTCAGGAAAGACGCGGCAGAAGCCTGGCGTCAGGTGGCGCCAGATGACATGTAGGACACATGCGAGGCCATCGACGCGCCACTCGGATTCATCGCGCCAAGTGGAATGACATCGCCAAACGGCTTGCCCAGTTTGCATTGATCCAGTTGGCCCTGCGTCTCGACGCCGAGCTCGTCGAAGAACTGCGAGTCGGCGAGATCTACCCATGCCCGAACTCCTCTTTTCAAGGACGCCGCCTCGCTTCACGGGGTGCGAAGCTCCGCCGGATGGGTCATGGGCCGCGCTTCCGCAGGATGTTGCCCTTCCTGTTGCCCCCGGCCGTCGTTGGTCTCGCCCAAAAATTCATCGCCGAGTCTTCAACGGGGCAGCAGCACAACCCGGCAGACGACGCGGTCCTGACCTTGCGCCCACGCAAAGCTGAGGCGACGCATGGGCCCTTCCTTGCCGATGGGGGCGGTCCGGACCGCCTGGCCTCGTAGAGCACCGGCGACGAACTGCCCCTCCTCTGGGCCAGCGTCGACCTCGACTTCCTTTGCCGTCCGCCGCGCGGCGTCGAGGCTGGCCCAGTCGAGGCAGGCGCCGATGCTCAGACAGAAACCCGCGCACTCGCGGGCGCTGATCGCGACGACGCCGCCGCTCGCGCTGGCCATCTCGCCGCTCTCTTGCAGGCTCACCTCTCGCTGGGCCCCCGCATTCGTCGCGCCGCGCGCCCGGTGCCTTCTCGGCCGAGCCGCCGCGTTTCAAGGTGCGCGCTTCGCCTTCGTCTGGCGCCCCGACAACTTGCGGGGCGCCCACTTCCCGCGCGCGGTCGCAGATCTTCTCCCGCGCGATGCCCAGGCAGCCGCCCTGCGACAGCGCCGCCCCCAGCCCCCGCCCCAGGCCGCGCAAAACCTCTCCAGTATGACTCCGAACCTACCTCGGCCGGCGCCGACGCGACTCTCGGTGGATCGTCCGCCGTGGCCTAGCGCGGCTCGCCTTGGCCTTTCCCTTCCAGCGCGGGGACCCACTGTTGGCGACGAAAACTGCCCGGGAGAGCCGCGCGGGCCCCTGGGCTGGGCCCCCCAATCCGCCGGCCACACTGGCCACCGGCGCAACTTCCTGCAACGCTGAACCTTGGCCCTGTCGAGCGCAAGATAGAGCCAAGGCGAGAGGCAGGGCCAGGCGGCAGGACAAGTCCGGCACGTCTCCCGCGAACGAAGCGACCTCCAGGTTGCCTTCCAAGTCGTCGCTGAACTCACTGGCCGCAGGCGCTGCCGGCGACCCCGTCGGCGCACTGGGCGGCGCGTAAAGTTTGAGATTCGCCTCCCGAAACTCCCACGCTAGACGAAGCGCGATCGCCCCGTCGTCGTCTACCTGCTTCGCCACCGCGAGCGCGCGAACGCACTCGCCTGCCTTTTCCGACCAGTCGAGCGCCGTCGCATCCACGCGTTTCTCGGGCAAACTGATCCGCGCCCTGTTGCCCCTCAGCAGTGGTTCGGGGCAAAGTCTGTTTTCGATAATCGTCGCAAGGCTGTGGTCGATGCGGTCATCGCAACCACGGGCTACATTCCCCCGCCTGGCGCCGACGCGGTCTCGACCGCGAGCGGGCGCGCGTCTCCCCGGCGCGCTCGCCCTGAGCAGCTCGAAACTGCGGCCGCCGGATACAGCCCGAATCTCGCGACGGACGGCCGAAGACCGCCTGGCCTTGCCCCCGGGGAGACTTCCACAGGCACGCCGACTCTGCCGTGGACACCGCGCCAGCGCGGTCGCGCCCCCCGGATAGCCGGGCCCCCCCCCCCGCTGCCTTCGCCGAGCCCTTCCGCGCCGATGAACTCAACCCCATCGCCGACCCGCGCGTCGCTGCCCAGACTGCGTTCGGCGAGCGGGCCGCCCTCCCGAGCGCAAGAATCGACTCCGCTTTGGACTGCCGCCCTGACAGCTCCGAGAGGAAACGAGGAGACCTCGGCACTGCCCAGTTCGTGGCGAGCGCGCGGCCGATTCTGCAGGGCCGTGTTGTTTCACGCCCGAGTCCACTACGTCCTTCCAGCTCCCGACCAGACCCGGCCGGCGCCGAACCTCCGGTGGTCGCGCCCTCCGTCGAAGCAACGGGAGGCGCCGTCGCCTGTTCTGTGATCGTGGTCTAGGTGGCGTCCACGCGCCACTGCAACTGGGCGTAGTGACTCAATCAAAGCGAAAGGGCAACGTCTGGTGACTTTCGGAGAGCGTGGTATTCAAAAACAAAAAAGCGGCCGCCTGTTCCGTGATCGTTGTCTGGGCGGCGTCCATCCGCCACTGCAACTGGGCGTACTGACCCAATCAAAACGAAAACGCAAAGTCTGTTGAGATCCGAACAACCTGGTAATCAGAGACAAAAGCGGCCGTGCCATGATCCTCCGATGGGGTGTCCGAGTGAGCGCGTGTCTGTATGCTCGGCGATGACAAGCGTCATGACGGTCCGCGCGGCTGCGGCACCGGCTGCGGCACCGCAGCCGCGAACGCGCGCGCGACGCGACCAGCCACGAGCAACGAACGACGACGACGACGCGAGCAGCATGTAGGTGGCGATATGCCCCAGTGCGCCTGTGTACACCACGACGTTCGCGTGCACCACGGCGCGCGTGTACACCACAGCGCCTGCGCACACCGCGACAATTGTGTGCAACGCAGCGCCCGTGTATACCACAGCGCTCGCGTACAGTACACCGTCGGTGTATCTGTGTACACCGCAGCTACCATCGGCAGCACAGCGCCAGTGTACACCACAATGTTTGCGTGCACAACAGCTATCCGTGCACGCCACAGCGCGTGTCTATCTACAGCATCCACGTGCAACGCAGCGCTGGTGTACACCACAACGCCTGCGTGCATAGGACAGGTGGAAGAAGCATGCACGTGAGGATCTGCTGCGGAACAGTCAACTAGACGCAACGCCAGGGAAGTGCTGATATTCGAATGCAACGTTCTTCCCTCCTCCCTCCTCCACCTCCACCACTTCCTCCTCCTTTTCCTTTTCTTCCTCCTCCTCGTCCTCGTTGTCCTCCTCCTCCTTTTCCTCGTCCTCCTTTTTTTTCCTTACCCCGTGTCGTGCGCTTTGGCGCTACAACGCACGTGCGCATCTCAGCGCGCATCGCAGAATGGTCCATTGAATCGGTCCACTTGGTTCTCGGACGGTCAATCTAGCTGGAGTTTCCTGGACGCAGGTGGGAAGAGTTAGGGTGATGCGGGCGGACTCGGGAAGACTCGTAGGTTCCAGCGGCGCCCCGTTGTCCGTAAAGGTTATTGTCCTTTTTCCCGGTTTTGTGTGGAATCCACAAGCACTCCATTTTGTCATAGGGTTCGTTTTAAAAGTCTATATGCAACAGTGGTGTTGTGTTGCACACGGCTGCTGTGGTGCACGCAAGCGCCGTGGTGTACACAGGCACTGCAATGCACGCAGGCATTGTGGTGTAGACTGGTGCTGTGTTGCACACGGCTAATGTGGTGTACGCAAGCGCTGTGGTGTGCACAAGAACTGTTGTGCTCGCAGGCACGGTGGCACAAACTGACGCTGTGTTGCACGCGGCTGCTGCGGTGTACGTAAGCGGCGTGGTGTACATAGGCGCTGTGGTGCACACAGGCACTGTGGTGTACACACGCATTGTGGTGCAAATCGCCACCTACATGAAGGCGTTACCCGTCCTCCGTCATTCCTAAGCATTCCCAGACGCCGCTGGCGCGAAACATGACGTCATCGACCCCCTCCACCCCCTAGATTATTGCCGTCATCGGCCCAGAATCAACAACACGCTTCAGCCGCGTCCGCGCGCACGACGACTATGAGCGACAAGCGACAGGCCATGGCGGCCATGAGCGACGACGAAAACGACGACGACGACTGCGGACCGGACTCCTATGCGGATGCCTGCGAGGACACCCGCTGGATTCCAATACGCACGGCGGCAGTGCCCGGAGCGCCCTGGGGGGGGAGTTACGTCATAGGGGGGGGGGGGGGCGGGGGCCATGACGCCCGTCATGCCCAAAGCAGTACAGAAACGGGCTCAATCATTCTCGTCTCCCACCTCGGCCCACAAGGTCATAGTCTCCCTTGTCGCACGTCTCCGTCGCGCTTTGGCACCGACCCTCGACGTCATCTATCGTATCGGCGAAGTCACCCGCCGCCTGGGTACAGGCGGAGATGATCACACCGATCTCGAGGGCCCAGTACGCCTTGGAGCCAAGAGCCGGGCAATTTCAGCAGCCCGACGGTCCTCTGCCACCGGGGGTCGCCCACCCACCACACCATGTTCGACTTCGCGCTCTTTCTGCCCGTGCCCAACTGTGGTTTGGCCGTCACCTTCTTCATCTCCATGTCCTTTTTATCCTTGCTCAAAGACCACTCGCCCCAGCAGGTGCCTGTCCGCCTCCGAATGCGACGATGATCCTCCGCCCGCTCCTTCTTTCCCATCGCTCGTGACACCTGGGAATGCTTGCCAATCAATCCCGCCCGCGGCCTAGTGAACACCTTGCGCTTGTCCTGAAAGTCCTTTGTCCGCACTTTGCCCGTGAGATCGACGACGCTGTACGTGCCAGCCTCGCGCCCTCGACGGGACCGATCACCAAAACCATCATGATTCGGCGAAGCGCCGTGACCGTAAGAAATACACTCGGCTACACTTGCCCGAAGCCACCTTGACAGGGATTTCGAACTCCTCCTCGCGGTGGTCGTAGCACACGGGGTTGTACCCCTTGTCGAAACTCGACTCGAAGATGCGGGCGGGGTTGGGTCCTGATCGACGGAGCCAACATTCACCCACCCGTCCTCCTCGCCACTGTCGGCCAGGTCTGGATTCGTCTGAATCCAGGGGCTCCTCGTCGTCGCCAAATTTCCCGGAAGCGGTGGACCACTCGGCGCTTTCTCTCCTCGCCGAATCTCACGGCGACACCCGCCGGCCAACCCACAGGCACAACCGCGTGGCGCCCCCTCGCTGGCGCCCCACGGCGCCGACCCGAGGGTCCGGAAAGCAGGCGTAAACCCTCAACCCTTTGAGCCCTAGGTTGATGCAGAACAAAGAGGGGAGAACAGGAGTGGGCAGACGGCCAACATCACAAGGTGATTATGACCAAACCGACGAATAAAAAACAAAACTCAATGGATAATGGGATCGTGTCGAAAGATATTCCCCGTGAAGACCTGTCTTCCGCGTCGTCCGCCGCGACGATACCCTGGAACGGAGACAGCGTGGACAACACCGACTCGTTGGACCGCGCCGAATGTCTGGAGGAGCGCAGCTGTACCCCGCTTGACCTGTGCAGGAGGGCCCCAGCTCCGTCTCCTTCTCCTTCCATTATATGTATATGTCGTTGTGTGATTCCTCCTCCTCCTGCTCCTCCTCCTCCCCATCCTCCCTTTTCCACCTGGATGCCGACTAATACGCATGCCCCTCCACTGAGGCGCTGCTGCTGCTGGAGAGCACCCCGAGGCAGACAGAGCCTCTGTAGCCCTGCAGAGGCGCCCGAACTCGTCTCAAACCCCGGAGCCTCGAACTCGGCCGCTACCCCCTGCCCTGAGGGGGAACGTTTGATGGGGCCCTGGGACTCACAGATAAATAGACACACATCCCATGATTCCCCATATTTTTGTCATGTAGTTTCTGGGTTTTCGTCTTCCAGCCCACCTACACTTCCCCCCCCCACACACACACACTTTCCTGGGGGTCGACGATTCATTGTGTCTCTGTGCTTTTTCTCTTCCTGAACGTTGCCCTGATCATCGGACGTCAGATGTGTCTGGTCCCGCCCGACGTGATGGGCTGCCCCCGAGGTTGCCTAAAATTCCGATATCGGTCGCGACCGACTTGCCTCAATATCGGTCGCGCGACCGATCGGTCGCGACTGATTTGCGGTGCCGATCGGTCGCGACCGATCATGACCGCAAAAATCGGGCATCCAATCATCCGGGCAAGGGGAGACCGGCTCAGGGGCGGGGGAAACATGGACCCGGGAATCGGCGATGCATCGCCGACAGATCGGCGAAGGGCCCCCGAGAGCGAACAACGGATTTTTCCTCGGCGGGGCGGGCTGGCGGGCCCCCAGCGGGGATGAATGTGCGGTTGGGGGTCGATGCCCCGCCCGAGAGCCCCCCCTGAGCCTATCCCACCCCTGTCGTCGGCCCTTGGCCTTCGGGTCCTGAGTCGGATCTCCGACGCCCGCTCGGGACGCTCCGGGAACCCCAGGGACGCCCCCGGCGACGCGGAGCCGCTGGACAGCATCCCGAGGCTGCAACAAAAGCCGAGGACGCATCCCCGAGGCTGCCCCCCGATCCCCGCCCCAGGGCGACCTGGGCTGCCGCTCCGGCGGGGACTCGTCCCCGCTCTCGCCCACTCGGAAGGTCACCGAGGCCCGGCCGCGGGAGGTGGCCTGCGGGCTCAGCGGCGCCGCGCCCGGCAGGGGGGACGCGGCAGCCCCAACCCCCAGCGCTGCGGGGCTCTTCGGGTGGGCTCTGGGACTCTTCGGGTGGGCGTCCAACCTCCGAGGGGGAGTCCGTCACAAATTCGCCTCCCAAGGGTGTCACCCCGATGTCTCCTCCTTTTCTGAGCGGCCTGATCGCTCGCGGGAAACCAGGGGGGGTGTCGGGGCGAGAACTCCCCTGCGACCCAGCCCCTCAGTGGGGTAGCGAGGACTGACCACCTCGCGGGCTCATGGGAGAGCAAAACTAACGTCAATGCCACACCAATCGGACGAACCCATCTGCGTGCTGCCCTTGAGAACGATATCCGGTGGCCCCCCCTGCGGGAACCACTTGGCTGCGAGCGTCGGGTTCTAGCAACAGATCTATACCAATCCTGAGCTCCTCGGTCCCAGTCCGATTTCCAGTCTCGGGGATTGTAACCACCCCCTGCTTCCTCTGTGAAGTGTTACTTATCCGCGCGATGGGGGGGAGCAGAAAAACGCCCTGGTCAGCACGTCAACTTGGGGTTCTCATATTTCTCGGGGGGGCCCTCGTGGGTTATGCTAAGTTACGAGGCTAGAATCAACTATACATTACACCGAATTCGCGTTCCAGAGGCCAGAATCACCTATACATTACACAGAATTCGCGCTCTGGCGACCTGATTTCGCCATACACTGCTTCAGATTCGCGCTCCGATACCCACAATTCCAAATAACAGAGTCCAGGCTCGCGCTCCCGACGCCAGAATTCATGACTTACCAAGGGTCGCGCCTCCAAAATCACAGCCCTCTGAACGTTGCGCTAGATCCGCGCTCCCGAAACCATAATCCATAGTGAATAATCTCAGATTCGCAATTACCTCAGACTCGCGCTCCCGGGCCCAGAATTTTTTGAAAATTGCATTGGGTTCGCGCTCCCAAAAACCACGGTCCCCCGCATATTATGCCGAACTCGCGTTCCCGAGGCCACAGTCTCCTGAAAATGACGCCACATTCGGGCTTTCATGAGAGAAAGAAGCGTTCCACAACAGCTCCAAGACATCGATGCTTCTGCTGGGTGCCAGTCGCCCTCGCACGACTCGGTGGCAACTCATGGGGGCCTCCCATACCATCTTGTCGGCTCTTGCCAATCGACGCTAATCGACGCTACAGTGCGGGCGCGGCCGCAAGAAACTCTCGCAAAAAAAAACCAACCCTGAAAACCCTCGCGCGAGGTGCACCTGAGGGGCAACCAGGAGTGCCCTGAACGCAACCGCTCCTTCCCCAGCTGCGGAAAGCCACCGCGCGGCGCGCGGAGCGAAAAAAACCAGGATACCCTGACGGAAAGCAGATTGTTTCTTGATGCGCGCCCCCACTTTAGATCGACGGTCGCCAACGCTAAATCGACGCCCGTCGACGCGATTCGACACAACAAGCAGGAATACGAGGGTACGCCAGGCTCCACGGATCGGCGGCGAGCGAGGGGGGGAAGTGAAAAGAAGGAGGCGCTTTCGGACAAAAAAAAATATGACCCCCCCCCCGCCGAAGACATAATAACGCGGCGAAGGACCAGACCATATGCAGGTGTGAGTATCGTCGTTTCGGGTATCGCCGTCGGGAAATCTCCTCATGGGGCCATGAAGCGTGCGAAGGGCGTGCCGATGTGGGGCGGGTCTGCTATGTGGGCGCTGCCACTGGTGATTTGAGCGGAACGCACTACGAGGCCGCAAAAGGTGCGACGGGTGCGCCGCAACGGGGCGGGGCCACCACTCGGCCTTCGGTGGGATCGCCTTGGGGCCACGCAGCGAGCGTGTACTGGGTGGGGGAAACGCATGCGAGTACACCCATTGGTTGGGGCCCTCGGTGGAGCTCCCCATGGGGTCACGAAGCGCTGCGCTAGGCGTGGGGGAACGCATGCAAACGCCGCCACTGGGGCCTTCAGTAGAGCTCCCTATGGGCCACAAGACGCATTACTGGTGGGGGAACGCATGCGAACACCGCTGCTGGAGCCTCCCGTGGAGCTCCTCATGGGGCCACGAAGCGCTGTACTCGGCGGGGGAAACGCATGCGAACACAGCCACTGGGGCCTCGGTGGAACGCTGACTTGGGTGGGGGTGACGCATGCGGGCGGCGCCACGGGGGTCTGCGGTGAAATGGAGCTCCCTATGTGGCTGGCCACGGTACGCTGTACTGGGTGGGGGTGACGCGTGCGGGCGGTGCCACTGGGGCCTTCGGCGGAAGTCCCTATGGGGTCGCGAAACGGTGTGCCGGGTGGGGGAGACGCATGCGGGCGGTGCCACTGGGGTTATCGGTGGAGCTCCCTATGGGGCCACGAAGCGCTGAACTGGGTGGTGGTGACACGTGCGGGCAACGCCACTGGGGCATTCGGTGGAGTTCGGTACGGGGCCGCGAAACGTCATACCGAGCGCAAGGACCTCGTGCGAGTCCGGCCACTGGGACCTCCTGTTGACCTCCCTACGGGGCAAACGAAACGGTACACTGGGCGCAGGAACCGCATGCGACTGACGCCAGTGGGACCTTCGGTGGAGTGGAGACCCTTATAGGGCCACGAAACGCTGCACTGGGCGCAGGAGGCGCATGCGACTTCCGCCACTGGGTTCTTCGCTGGAACCTCCCAACGGGGCCACGAAGCGCTGCGCTGGGCGGAGAGCATAAACGCGAATAGGGATGGGGAGGGAGGGGGGGGCTGGAGAGGAGGCGGGAAAACGCGGAGCGCTGTCTCTTCAAAACGAGGGCCCAACGCCACAGGCCGGCTGGGAACGCAATTTGCCTGGCGAAAGACCCAACCGCACACAGCCGCGAGCGCCGCGCTTGCGGCACGAACCGCGCAAGGGGCGCGCCAAAGTGGAAAGGCGGCGCCGCGCGCGCGCTGCCGCTGGGGCCTTCGGCGAAGCCCCCTATAGGGCCGTCGGCGCGGCCCCATCTGTCCGTGATCTGATCGACGGGGGGCGGCGAGTAAAGCTAGAACGTCCAAGATTGTCCTTCCCTCCAGATCCCACCACCGCGCCCGCGCACTCCAAATCGAAAGGCTGCGCTGCCGGCTCGGCGCAGCGCGGAGACCCCGCGACGCGCGCCAGTCGCCCCGAAGCGACGTGCGCGGGTCGTCCGCCGCACGGAGGAAAGAGAGCTAACTTGCCAGCCAACGAGCAGCAGCCCCCAGACAGCTTCGGCAAGATCATGGTGTTGGCGGGCACAGCGCTTTTCTTCTCGATGGCGCCGTGGCGAAAGTGGTGGCAGCGTAGGGCAATCCGCGTCCCCACCATGTGCTGCGTGGGCAGTGACGAGCTCACGAGGGACGATATGATGGAGGAGATGGTGCGTCCTGTTTCAAAGCCCTGTTGCACAGTGTACTCTCCTGGGCCCTGGCGAGGTCAGACTGTGTGGCAGGCTATATCAGATCATCCTGATCGTCTTTTTTTGATCGCAAAGATCATGTACTCCACGTTTCTCCATTTTGTGATTTTCATGATGTGGACTTGTCGTCGCAAGGGTTCGTAGCGACGGATGAGCACTACACGGAGCGCATCACCAAGTGCCAGACCCAGTCGTGGGATGAGGGCCATGACGAGCTCCATACTTCAATTTTGTTGGCCACCTGTGCGACGGATGTAAGTGTGGGCCCACACTCAGATGCTACCCTCGAGCCTTCCAGCGACCCCCTGTACAGCGGTGGCGGCAAGGGAGGCTCGAAAAAAAGACAGCACGTAAGGCGGATCAGTCGGCAGTTCTCCAGGGGCTGGTGAAGGCTGTCGCGGCGATCCAGCAACAGATCGGCCTGAAGCAGGAGGCCCCTGCTGCATCCACTGCCACGGCGGCGGCCACCTGGCTTGGGCCTGAATCGGCGAAGCCGACGAAGGCCAAGGCGGCGAAGGCCAAGACGTCGAACCTCCAGATCATCGAGCGGTTGAGGAGCCTCATCGGGTACGTGGACTCCGCGACGGGCTCGAAGCGCAAAGCCATCACCACTCCGGTGGTATGTAATAAGTTACGAGAAGTTATTGCTACCTTCAGTTCGGCCACGGCAGACAGCCCGCTGGAAGGTGCGACGACGACGGCGGCAGCGACGACACCGACGGAACGCTTGGTTGCGGAGCCCTGGGGGACTGCGGCGATCACCGCTGCGGGCCAGGCCCGCGCCAAGCTGAAAGCGAATGCAGACCCACTGGTTATTCTTTCGACAGCCGATGCTGAGTTCACGACCGCTGAGCAGGTTCGCAGAGCTTTCGGCAACAGGACAAACATCACGCACGTAGTCCTCGACCCTGCAGGTGAAGAATACGTACTCCTGCAGGGCCTCAAGGGCCCAAAGAAGATGAAGGCCCGCATCATCTACCACGGCACGGACGCTCCAAGGCGTGCAGGCCTGGATGCGGCGATCAAAGACGACGAAATGGTTCAGCATGAAAAGTTAGCATTGGTAAGCTACCGTATCACGGTCGTGCAGGAGCTCACGGACGAGACGCTGTACCACCAGATATACCATCAACCCCAGGCTCTCCCTGCTGCCGTGCTGGGAGAAGCGGCTGCCGCGCAGATTGTGCGCACCCGCGGGGCCATCGCCTACGAAGCTGAGACGACGTGTGTTGTGACGATTCCCAAAGCGTACGAGGTCAAGCTGTGCGAGATCACCCCCCCGCCCGGCTGCTTCGTAATTAAACATGCCTCTACCTCATCTCCGAAATGGTTCACCCAGGAGGATGGAGAAGCGCCCAAAGATTATCTGAAGAGAGTTTGTGGATTACTTCAGAACATGCGCAACTTGCTGGTCGATCGTCCCTTTGGGAAAGCCAAGCTGGGCGCCATGTCTCAAGTCAATGCTCCTGGGATGGTAGAACTAACAAAGTATTGTCAAACACGCTTTGCCGACCTTGGCGACCCCACAGCATGTGGCCGATTGGGCGGCAATGAGAGGCTTCCTGCGCATTCAGGAGTCAACGAGGGCTTGGCCGAGGGCCTGGCTATTTTTC